CTCCCACCTCCCTCCCCCTCCCTCCCCTTACCCCCCCCCCCCCCTTCCTCCGTACCCGCAGGGGCGAGTGCCTCAACGAAGGGGGCGACGCGAGTGCGCAGGCGTGGGACCACAGTGCCTTCGGCGGTCTCCCGGGCCAGCGCTGGGACGCCGCCGCCCAGTGCCAGCTCTTCCTCAAGGACAGCGATGCCCGGATGGAGAATGTGTCCAGGATACACGTTAGTTAACAAGTTTTTTTTCTATGTGATTGTTTGTGTTTGTTTGTTTGTTTGTTTTTTATTTATTTTTATTATTTTTTATTTGTTTATATCTATTTATTCATGTTTTATCTATTTATGTTTATGTATTTATTTATTTGTTTATTTATCTATTTATTTTTAATTATTTATTTATTTATTTTTATTTACTTATTCATCTATCTATTTATTTCTATTTACTTATTTATCTATTTATTTATTTGTATTTATTTGTTTATGCATTTTTATTTATTTATTTATTTTTATTTATTCATTTATTTTTATTTATTTATTTATCTTTATTTGTTTATTTATTTTTATTTATCTGTTTATTTATTTTCATTGATTTGTTTATTTTGTTTATTTTCATATATTTGTTTATTTTGTTTATTTCATTTATTTGTTTATTTATTTCTATTTATTTATTTATTTATTCATTTATTTATGTTTATTTATTTATCTATCTATTTATATTCAATTATTTATCTTTATGCATTTAATTGTGTTTTTGTTCATATTTATATTCATTTTTATTAATTTGTTTGTTCAATTTTGTATCTGTTTTATTTATTTATTTATTTATTTATTCATTTATTTTGTCTGTTTGTTTATTTCATTTTATTTATTTTTTCTCTCCCTCTCTTTTTTAAATGTGATATTGTTAGTGTTATTGGTTGTAATATTAGGATGAGTGTTGGTATTAGTTGATGTATTAGTATTCGTGTTAGTGGAATTAGTATTAGTAGTATTAGTATTAACAGTATTGATATTAGTATTAGTAGTATTAGTATTAAGAATATTGATATTAATATTAGTAGTATTAGTATTAACAGTATTGATATTAGTATTAGTATTATTAGTATTAACAGTATTGATATTAGTATAGTAGTATTAGTATTAACAGTATTGATATTAGTATTAGTATATTAGTATTAACAGTATTGATATTAGTATTAGTAGTATTAGTATTAACAGTATTGATATTAGTATTAGCAGTATTAGTATTAACAGTATGATATTAGTATTAGTATTAACAGTATTGATATTAGTATTAGTAGTATTAGTATTAACAGTATTGATATTAGTATTAGTAGTATTAGTATTAACAGTATTGATATTAGTATTAGTAGTATTAGTATTAACAGTATTGATATTAGTATTAGTAGTATTAGTATTAACAGTATTGATATTAGTATTGATACTGATATTAGTATTAGCAGTATTAGTATTAAGAATATTGATATTAATATTAGTAGTATTAGTATTAACAGTATTGATATTAGTATTAGTATTATTAGTATTAACAACATTGATATTAGTATTAGTAGTATTAGTATTAAGAACATTGATATTAATATTAGTAGTATTAGTATTAACAACATTGATATTAGTATTGATACTGATATTAGTATTAGTAGTATTAGTATTAATAGTATTAATGTTAACAGTATTAGTGTTGGTATTAATATTAGTAGTATTAGTATTACTATTAACAATTTTGTCTTTATTTTATTTATTTTTATTTACTTATTTTATCATCATCATCATCACTATCACCATAATCATCATTATCATCATCACCATCACTATCACCATAATCATCATTATCATCATCATCATCACTATCACCATAATCATCATTATCATCATCATCATCATCATCATCATCATCATCATCACTATCATCATAATCATCATTATCATCATCATCATCATCATCATCATCATCATCATCATCATCATCATCATCATCATCATCATCATCATCATCATCATCATCATCATCATCATCATCATCATCATCATCATCATCATCATCATCACTATCACCATAATCATCATTATCATTATCATCATCATCATCCATCATCATTATCACCATCATCATTATCACCATCATCATTATCACCATCATCATTATCACCATCATCATTATCACCATCATCATTATCACCATCATCATTATCACCATCATCATTATCACCATCATCATTATCACCATCATCATTATCACCATCATCATTATCACCATCATCATTATCACCATCATCATTATCACCATCATCATTATCACCATCATCATTATCACCATCATCATTATCACCATCATCATTATCACCATCATCATTATCACCATCATCATTATCACCATCATCATTATCACCATCATCATTATCACCATCATCATTATCACCATCATCATTATCACCATCATCATTATCACCATCATCATTATCACCATCATCATTATCACCATCATCATT